TACTGTATACTGAACGTTATGACATGTACCGTATACTGAGTGTTATGACATGTACCGTATACTGAGTGTTATGACATGTACCGTATACTGAGTGTTATGACATGTACTGGATACTGAGTGCTACGACATGTACCGTATACTGAGTGTTATGACATGTACCGTATGATGAGTGTGTTATGACATGTACTGTATACTGAGTGTTATGACATGTGCTGTATACTGAGAGTGTTATGACATGTACTGTATACTAAGGGTTTTGACATGTACCGTATACTGAGTGTTATGACAGGTACTGTATACTGAGTGTTATGACATGTACTGTATACTGAGTGTTACGACATGTACTGTATACTGAACGTTATGACATGTACTGTATACTGAGTGTTATGACATGTACTGTATACTGAGTGTTATGACATGTACCGTAAACTAAGTGTTATGACATGTACTGTATAGTGAGTGTTATGACATGTATCGTATACTGAGAATGTTTTGACAAGATAAAAAAAATTTTGAATGTCTCTTTCTAATGGTTATTTTCAAAGGTAAATAATCCCTAAAGATGGTGGGTATTGTCCTTTAAGAGTTGTCAGAATTCTAGCCCTGCAGGACAAATGGACATTGACATATGCAGGTCAATCTAGCACAAAGAATGATGGATTTGTTACGAACATTTATTCTGAAATTATAGATGAAAATCTTCAAAACCAGTCTGTCAGGCAAATCAATCACGCAAAAATGCGATGGATATCAAAATTCTATCTCTGTCTCGTGAGATATTATTCGGATGACCTCATTTGTTTTGTTACATTGTACAGTGTACTATCCATCGCGATCTCGTGATGGCAGCAGTTCAATAATTACGGTTACATCCGGGTTCAGATTGTATAGTTATATACTAAAACGGAAAAAATTTACCGATTAAACACTACATTTGCAGTATATATATCAATTCTTCATGAAATCAGTTAATCAAATAAACAAGGATTTTTTTTAGCTGAATGGTACTCTATTACAATGATGCTGATATTCTTTAAATAACAAAGCAATTTTAGTTTCGTCAACAAAAGTGACATTTATTTTAGAATAAATTTGGCGATAGACCATATTATAGAATATGACCGTATCATCTACATCTTCTTTTACCAGCTGTGATTACCTTAGTGAACACCATGCGGGATGCCCGTCACACAGTATCCTTGGGTTAAATGTCTTGTAAAGAGTCACTTTATGGGACATAGCTGTGATAACAGTTTCTAAAGAAAAATGTATCGCTCGTGTAGGGATCGAACCACACGTCTTGATTCTCCATGACTACATAAGACAGTATTTGTCGGACGCTACCAGCTGTGCTATCGCAGCTTCAATAATAGCTTAGTTTGAGCTGTCTATATTAATAGCGATCTGAGACCAAACCTGCTGTTTCAGTCATTGGGAACTCACGATCCTTAATCACAACGACGATTAACTTCCCAGGACGTTAGATAATTTGATAAATTCTCGCTTATTTTGATTTTCTGTGAAGGATGTATCCCGTCAAGTTGTTTTTTTAGTTATAATGGTACACTATAGCCAGTTCCATGTCAATTCATGTATTTTATTATCCAGTATATTTCTTTGCGCGTCGCTTTACGACCGTCAGCCGTCGCCTAGTTTATTATCGTTGTTTCACTTTGGAACTACAAAGTATTTTTGTTCTATCGCCCTGAACAACGAACTAACGACAATTCCGGGTGGCTACGTCAGAATCACTAGCTACTTCACGTAGCTAACCATTGTCATTACTTCGTTCTGTCGCCACGAAAATTTTGATGTTATGTTTATCGTAAAATAAAGACATGTCACCCGTCGATCCCCATCAAGTGATTTACCGAGTTGCCGTATCAACTGTTTATTTGCGTAGTAAATGTGCTATCACCTACATGTTGGTCAGTGTAAAGGTCAGTCTGGTCATCTATTACTGGTACACGTGTTACCTGGCGACACAGGCCAAAGTTCATGTGTGTACAGTTGGGTATCAGGATGATTATCTTAAATATGTATCAGAGTTATCTGTCCCTATCGCCACTCTTTTGTCGTCAGCTCAGTGACGGGAATGATTCATCACTTACAAAGTTTGATGGTCAGTTTTAAAGTGTATAGGTCAGAGTTTAAAACATGTCGTTGATTTCATTGTAAAACCATTTGTAAACCGCACAGAACCTATTGTTAACCACACGTATACCATTCGTATATCACACATAACCTATTGTTAACCACACGTAAACCATTCGTATATCACACATAACCTATTGTTAACCACACGTAAACCATTCGTATATCACACATAACCTATTGTTAACCACACGTAAACCATTCGTATATCACACATAACCTATTGTGAACCACACGTAAACCATTCGTGAACAAGTCAGCCCCTTATGAACAAAACGTAAACCTATCATAAATCACATGTTAAAAAGAATAATGAACCACACTGGAAACCATCATAAACCACACGTGATCAGACTTGCTTGTTTGTTTGTGGAGTACTGTTGCTGATTGTTATCATGGTCCTTTTGGCAGTACGTCACTACCGGATGTTAGGCAACTGTCGACGTTATCAAACGGAAAAGCTCTATCGCGTAATTGATCACAACTCATTCAGTTACTTCCCCTTTTTTAAGCTGGACAGACGATGGTAATCAAGGGGGAAATGCCAATCGCAACACCTCGGACGATAACCCTGCAGTCATTATAACTGATGAAACGAACACGGATCTAGAATTTGTTCATGCATCAAGCCCCTTGAGCACATATCAAGGTTAAAGGCCAAAGGTTACCATTGACAAATTAATTCAGGGATATGGGTATATCTTTGTGAGTCCTGCTCATTTTATTTTCATTTCATATGAAATGGCACGATTATGTTTTGTTTTTGTTTTTTCATAAATTTATGTCACCCGACGCTATGTTTCCTCATTATTATCTGCAGAAGTAGCGCGTGCAGGAAAAAATACAAGAGTTATTGACGAAAACTACTTGAACATCAGTACTTAGTGTTGGAAAAACCTGCTATAGGGACGTGATATCCTGTACTCTGGAAGAAAATTAATAAATAAAAACAAACAATTAAATCAACTGTATATCATAGAATCCCATTTTTAATAACTTTGTTCGTCATAGTCTGAATAATTCATCGAGTATTGATGATTAATGGGCCAAAGTAACCAATAACCTTAATTGAAAACTTGTCCAGGATATTGTTTAGTTGTAAATAAATACCGATTTATTCACCACGAGTGTGTCAGTAAATGATTATAGGCATTGTCAACAATACGGTCTATTGAATTTTCAATATTTTTTTTTACATATATATTAATTAGCTGATAACTTATTATCACGACCATGAGACTTCTCGTACATAAATCACTAAAGTTACATGTTAATTGAAACCCAGTCAAACCACAGACTATGCCGGAGTCATGCACTTCCTGTCGGAATCCACCAAGGCTTCTGGTCGTATGCTGGTACGTGTATGTAGTGACATCTACAATTGCTTAACGTCTATGAGGTGAATGTTTGATAATATCGACCTCCGTAAGAAACAACAAACAAAACTGCTGTCCCTGCAACATCTTTCATTATTTATAAAGGAGTGAAGCTTTCTTCGTAATTTTTGTAGACCAATGCCGGCGGATCAAATATCCTGGGTATGAAATTAGATTACACAACAGGAGGTTGTATTGTAGTCGATAATTCTATGACATAATGAAATCTTTTTCAAAACTTCTTCTTTAGAACAACACATTCCAATCCAACAACGAAAAAATTTCGTGCGCGGGGGGGGGGGGGGGGGGGGGGGGGGGGGGGGGGGAGATGTCCTTGTGAAGCTTCAAGTCCAAACAACCAGTATCACATTGCCGTGCTGATGTAAGCAGTCAGTGCTGTCTTCAAGTCCAAACAACCAGTATCACATTGCCGTGCTGATGTAAGCAGTCAGTGCTGTCTTTCTCATTCTGTATTATTAAACTATCGTTTTTAAGTGAGGGTATCGTTTCCTCAAAACGTAAACACAGAGGTGCATTTACAACGTAAAATGCGTATGAATGTGTTTAAGAATGTGAAAAACTTTTATGACCAGAGATTGGTTGAAAGCATGTTTCAGCACAATAGTAGAAGAAGGGTGCATTCACACAAACTTTAAAAAGAACCCCCAACATTGCCAGCTTGATATTTGGAAACGTTCTCTACTTTCCGTGTTGTTGGGTGAGCTATGTATTAGTCTTCCTATAAGGTTGTACAAGATTCACCTGATACTACACAGTTTGATTTATTTAGAGGGGTTTTGTAAACGTGATATCTTTTTGTGTAAATACTGTCACAGGAAGCAGATTATATTGTTATATCATTATAAAACAGACGATTGGCGGTCAAACTTTTTATCATGTGGACGCTCTACTTGCTAACCCGGATGTCAGGTCGTTTAAACATCTTCGGTCTAATATTTCTACAAGACAACCCATTGAAAAAAAGCCCTAGACAGTTTTAATCACGTCATATCTGCCCCAACCATCAATAGTTTAAATGACCCACTTTTTCTTCAGAAAGCATTCACTAAAAGCAATAGACATGTTTACATTTCGCTTCCCGGAGTTTAAGAACTTGGTCGTTTATAGATATATATATATATAGATGTGAAAGTTGAAATAACTGATTTTAAATCAAGTTGTCAAATAATCATGTTTTGTTCTTTTATTCTGGAATTTATTTCTATGATAATAAGTTTTTAATAAAACCGTTTTACCATTATATTGAATACGGATAAATAATTAATGATTACATTTGCATAATATCTATGTAATTAAAAGACTAGAATAAAGTGTGATGTCCATACAACCGGATTATTGTGGTGTTCGGATAAACGAAACCTGACGAAATCCTTATATCTATTTATTTGATTCGTAAGATAGTGACTTTATATATTACAGCGTTAGAATAAAAAATGTAGTGTACATTACCTTGATCAGAGAATATCCATTTGCCCTGGGAGGCCGACACGAAAGAGAAGGGGACAACACATGCCCCGACCATCAGGTCAGCTGCTGCCAAGGAGATGATAAAATTCCCACTCGGAGTTCGAAGAACTTTGGTGCGTATTATCACAGCAATACTTAATGTATTTCCTATAATAGTACAGATCATAATTCCAAATATAAAACATGCTTTGATAATAAATTTTGATCTCTCCTCCTCGTATTCGTGTTCTTTTTCATCCCGAGGCACAGTCTCGTTTGTTAGGTTCATTTCCAACATGGCCCCAGGATTGAAGATTGATGATCCTTGAAAACTAAACACAGCTAAAAACGACGTTTATCTAAAACCGACGAGAACATCTTGAAATATCCGTTCAATTCACAAATACCTCAGAAAGGAATACACAATTTGTCGCGGGGTGAAACAAGCATTCTTTTGTTGTTTAAGACGGGGCACTCTCTACAAAATCACATCATTTAATCCCATAAGTACACACAACCACCAACGAGAAACACAACCGCACATATACTGTCCGTGTACTCCCGTCTGTATATAAACACACTGACGAGTACACAATGTGTCACTGGCCGATGATTAATGGCGATCCAGTCAAATATGTATTACCTTTATAGCCCATTTTGTTTCAATATGTATTTTAATGACTTACACTTTTTCCCTTTTACTGGTCAAGTCGGTATAATCTAATCTTCCGTAACCACAGTTTATAAAGCGGCCATTTATAGGAAATCCGCCCACAGCCAGCAAGTGTTTTGTATTACACCGAACACAGCCCTGTAAATGCTTTTATTTGAATATTCAAAATCAGTGAACCGCTAGTTTCCGATGAGTTCGTTTCCTTGACTACCGCTACCCTATTAGAATGACTTGATAACCCACAACGGAGATAGATATAATGTGTATAATCTCAACTGATATAGAATCACAAAACTACAGAAATGTAGATACGACACATGGCTTTTGTAATGAATGCGTGGTATCTCTGTCTGTCTGTCATGATGTCCGTCCGTCCGTCTGCCTGCATGTCTGTCAGTCAGACAGTCCTGTTGTCTGTCATTCATGCTGTCTGTTTGTCGTTCTGTCTGTCTGTTGTCTGTCCGTCCGTCTGTCCGTCTGTCTCTGTCTGTCTCTGTCTCTGTCTCTCTCGGAATATAAGGTAATATCATTCTTTTTTTCTTCTTCCTTTTCCCACTTTCCTTCTTTCCTTCACTATGATATGTCACGTAGAAAACCATGTATCAATAATTAATATGTAGTGTTAGTATATAAAAATCGGAAATGAAATGAAGGAAAAAAACAGAACAAGAAATAATCCATTTTATTAGCATATCACTTCATGCATTAGCCAATAATTCATAACTTTTGCATATTTGAAAACAAACACATAATTACAATGTACGTGCTTATTCAGATTTCACCCGGTTTTATTCAATTCCTTTCCTACAGGAAAAATATTAAATCTCATGCTTGAACAAAATCTGAACTTAAATGACTAATTAGATACAACAGTACAATCAAGTGAATTTTTCGGGAATTTGATATTTTTAGGAAAATCAACGGTATAAAATAATTAGTAACGGCAACGGCAAAGGTTTTGCTAATGTCCATAGCGCCGGAAGTAGGACTTAACCAATTATGTTGAACAAATCGGGGCTTTGATACCAAGACAGAAATTCACAAATAAATAAATAATCCTTAATATCTTCTTTAACGTCATTTAAATAAAAATCTTCGTTTTCTTTAGTTGTTATCAAGGGATGTTTTCTTTTCTCAAATGTCTCTCTATGCCATGAACTTATCTTTTATCCTTTACACCTGTGAGACCTCCTCCTGGAATTGTCAAATAATCTCACCTAAATTAGGAATCAAGGACACGATCTTTCAGTAGAATTTCATTTCTGGAGAGCAATAGCCCTGCATTCTCAACCTACGGTGTTCACATGTCACATTATCGTGCATGATGTTGACAATTAACAGGAGTCTTAGAGATGACAATTGAAGATTGGGGTTAAGTTTTACTGTCACCATAATGAGTTCATTGGCAAATTATCTTATATGAATTTGGACGTGTTTGATGCTCGTTAGTTTGCCTGTTGGTTCTTTCTTGGATTAGGCAAGGTTTACATGGCGGATGTCATCGATGATGCAAAAGACGTCTACTCTTTCGGAACACCTGGTCTTATTTTGATTGTACTTTTAAGGGATTTTCCGCGTAAATCTTTCTTTTATTCATATTTTGCCTACTGTTTGAGTTTGGATTATGCTTGTGGTGACATTTTGGTATTTCTTATTGTTTATTTTCGGATTTTTTGCTTAATATTTCCATCAGTTCATTGTGACTTTCATAGCAGTGAATTTCAATTCTAAACTCGCTCATCAGAATGTTGGATTTTTGTTTGCTTTCACTTTATTGACAGTTCTTTTCAGCGTGGAAAAGGGAAACAGCTTTGCACGTGCATAACGTCA